CCCCAAACCCCCAAAACCCCAAAACCCCAAAACCCCAAAACCCCAAACAGAAGATGATAAAAACTTGAAAGAAATTTAAATAGAGTGATTACAAGTTTGTTTATAAGAATAATAAATATCTCTGCTCTTTCGAATCGGAATGTCATTTTTTCCATTTTGGCTTTGAGGGAGAATAACCGCGCATATATAGTTATGGCACATGCTTTGTGCTTCCAGTTACAGGTCCAACTCCTGTTACTTATGCTATTCTTTATCCAAGTCCAGACTTAGCCATTGCTGTCTTGAGAGATTAACCATTTTTATTAATGACATTGACTGGCTAACCCAAATTTGATGGTTACTAGGTTGGATTAGAATTTTATCCTACTGAGTTGTTATTCTGACCCGGACTTGCACTTCTTAGTCTGGGTTTTCCTTTTGATTATGATCTTTGAGAACTGTCCTGATTGTTAGTTTTTATTATCTTGCCGGTGCCTGGGGAGGAAGGTCTATTTCCCGTGCTTTAAGGCCTTTTCTATTATGACTCTTGAATAACCTGACCTAAAGCAATGTTGCTTTCATTAATGTTAGCTGTCATATTATTTGAGTTATCATTATTGAAACTATTTTTCAAAACTGGCTTTGAACTATTCGGTCTTTACTAATGTTGAGGTTATCCTTAGATTTAGCTACTAATTGGCTGTCCTCCAGATTTATTCAATTATATCGGTCCTTTTGAATCAATGGCGTTTTAAGTCGCCTTCACTGGTCCACCTCTGAATGAATTCAACTTTATTCCCTAACTTCCGTTAGTAGTTCCTTTGCTTTAATTATTTAACTATGTTGCTCCTGCTCTTGCACTTCCAAATCCGTTGATTTTTGGTTATGCAGATTAAATCAACGGCTGTTACTAACCTTAAGTTGTAATTATTCTATTCTATGATGTCTTAATCTAGTTTTAAAGTTATTGATACATGTTTGAAGTCCCACTAGCTGCATTAGTACCTCCATACTTATTCACCATAGTTTGAATCTATGGAGATTCACCTCTTTTTTTCTTAACGATTTATTATGGCTTAGCATTAGCACTTCCATTTTTAGATATTTCGTTTATATTTTATAATTTTTAAGGATTCATAACATTGCTCTCAGAATTGTCTGTATTTATGATTTAGTTGTTATTAGAGGCTAATGGCTCAGCATCTCCGTTAATATTTTGAATGGGTCTTGCAGACCCACTTCTTTATTTTGATGCTGTAGCAGTTGACTGCTGAAGTCTTTGATTTAATGAAACTTGTTGAGGATTAAATGTTTATTATACTTAGCTTTAATGCACAATTTATATCTTTTAAGGATTATCTGATCTATTCTAAATTTAAATCTTCTATGGTATTCCTTGGTTTTACAATTAGGGTTATTACTTTCTATCAGCATTGTTATTCAAGATATCAATGGGAGGGTTTTGAATGAAAAAGTTATTAATATTGTTGTTATTTATAATGTTAGTCACATTAGGTTGAACTTATTGCATTTGTGATGTCGTTTATATCACCTATTACTAGGCACCCATTTATGTTGCAATCTAATGTATTCTTCTCTACTCATCTAAATTTTTCCTCATCAATTCATTGTTTACTGGCATCTATTGATTACCGGAAAATTGAGGGTTTTAGTTCTTCATTGTATCAGAGTTTATCATAGGATTAACCTAAGGTGCATTTATTTGATTCGATATTGGTTGATAATTTTAAACTCTGCCTTAGGATTAATTCTATTATTAATTTTAGACTTATTACTACTACTATTGAGGAATACTATTCTATTACTATTATTACTGCTATTGATTATGCTGATTAAGGACTGGGTACTTATTATCAAGCTAACTGATATTAGTGGCAGGGTTCATTTATGGCACAACAACATTTCCAATCGTGTTGATAGATTTCTTTTAGACTGATTATCTATTGTTTTATTGTATAACTTCATTATTTAGCTCTGATAGGTCTTCACTGTGTACACTGTCATCTACCTTTGGGTAAAACATTTAAGGCTATCTAATCTATTACAACTATGGCTATGATGTTGGCTGTTATTATTACTACTACTAATTTGAAATTTAACCTGGCTGCACGACCTTAATTTGTCTTTTATCAAAACTTCCTTGCTTTAAATCTTAGAATTACTGAGGCTATTGGTTACTCTGCTATACATTGCTCAATGGATTCATTTTAACTTGATTCTGATTCAATACTATATGACCTGAGTTTTACAATGAATTTTGATTGCTATTTTACTTTGGTTTCTCTTGTGAATTTTATTAATTGTGATTTGCCTTGTTTTACTATTGCTGCTATTATTATAATTGCTAATGTTATTCTGCAGTATAATACATCGATGGAAAATTTTTCATGACTTAATTTTAACAGACTGGAACCTTGATTGCAGTCTTTACACTTTTAGGATGAATTCTTCTATGAATAGTTATCTCCTCAATGTGAGTTTTCAAACACAAATCCATCTCTGGATCTCCCTCTTAACCTAAAAGTTCCTAGCCATTAGTATGCTCATCTATCCATTTTAATTTTTAATTTGGATTCATTTAATCGTTCAATAAAGCAGGATTAAACTATGCAATAGGTCCCATCTAAGCGTTTAAGAAAGTATTTCTTAGAAGCAACTCTTCACTCTCTAAGAAGCAATTCTCTTCTGAAATCTCAGTCCATTTTTGAGTTTTAGGGCCGTTACCTGTTTTATGAAGACGAGCCTCATAAGCTGAGAGCTGATGGATAAAAGTGGCTCTTATCTCAAGATCTGGTCTTCTTGAGTTCAGGAATTCTAAGGTCTTTAGCAGAGACCACTTGTACTTTCGCATTAGATAAGCTGCAATTACACAAGATGATCTGCTTTGGCCTCGCACTGAATGCACAAGAACTGACTCAGCATTGCCTAATGCTCCATCAATAAAATCATAAATTTTATTGGTTGTCTCATCTGAAGGATCAAACAGTATCTGATTTTCTTAATCAAGCCAGTAAAATGTCATGTAGGCGACACCTATGGGCTCCCAGTGATTAGGAACTTGCTTTCCAGCGCAGTTCACGATATGAGTGACCTTATTGGCTACTACAAACTCTAAGTCCTAATATATTGATTGTCAAATTTAGTTGGAAAATTGTAAGTAATATTCATTGGAAAATTAAACTTTACCTGTGCAGCGAATTCGTCTCCAATAAATAGAGCATCTTTGATCTTAATAGCCCCAATCATATCATCATCCATAGGTGATTAGCTGCTCATCAACTATTGCTGCTGTGCCATTACTATGTATTACGGTTAAATATTATTGTTAATATAATTTATTTCAAGATCTGATTCTTAATCTTTTTCGACTCTATATTTTCATCTTGGGGTTTTGGGGTTTTGGGGTTTTGGGGTTTTGGGGTTTTGGGGTTTTG